GACAGTATACATATATATGTTCTTTAAAAATATTGTGCAATATAACGATGAGTCCATTAATTAAAAATGATACTGATATGTATCACAATTTCGAATTTTCTACACATTGCCCAAACCAATCTGCTTATATAATATCCGTTCTACTTTTCCTAAAAGTGTTTCTTTATTGATTAATAATAATAATTAAAGGGATAACCAATCCTGATCTGATTTTTTTTTACTATTCCCCAAAAATTGACTGCGTTTTTTCCATATCAACCCCTTGGGTGACGGTGTTTTTGAAAAAAAAGGCCCATTTGTAAGAATGTCGGGTTCGAATGCAGTGCCGCTGGATAGAGATAGAGATGGGGAGGGAAAGGGAGAGAGAAAGAGAGAGAGAGGAAAAGAGAGGGAGGGAGGGAGAGAGAGGGAAAAGAGAGAGAGAGAGGGGAGAGAGAGAGAGAGAGAGAGAGTGAGAAAAAGGAAAGTGGCACTGAATGGCTCAGTTGGAAGCAACAGAAAGATAGGTAGGTAGGGATATGTATCGGGTTGTCCGGAAAATAATGCAGGATTTTAAGTTTTCATTAAAAAAAATCTATATAAAATATTCTGTTTACGTTTACAGGATTACTCATTTGTATGAATGTCAACACTTATTAATCCTCTTCCAAATGATATTGTTTGTTTACCTCTGTAGCATTCCGCTACTTGGAAATAATTCAGTCATCCTTATAATGTCAAAGCGAGAATTTCGTACGATTTTCTTTTACGAGTTTAAACTCGGCCGAAGCGGAGCCCAAACGGCTAGAAACATTAACCAAGTCTGGGGCGAGGGTTGTGTTAATGAGTGCACTGTGCAAAGGTGGTTTAAAAAATTTCGGGAGGGAGATTTCAGCCTTGAAGATGAAGAAGGTCGTGGAAGGCCTTCCTCTCTTAATGATGATGTTCTGCGATCAGTGGTGGAAGAAAACCCCAAAACAACTGTTCGAGAACTTGCAGAGCAACTCAAAGTCAGTAAAACGACCGTCGCTGACCACCTCAAGGCGATTGGAAAAGTGAAAAAACTCGAAAATTGGGTTCCACACTCATTAAACGATCGCCAAAAAAATCAGCGCTTTGATGTTTGTGCATCACTTCTTTGTCGAAACAAAAATGACCCATTTCTGGCCAGAATTGTTACATGTGACGAAAAGTGGATTCTCTACGATAACACTAGACGTTCTGGACAGTGGCTCGACAAAGGAGAAGCTCCAATACATTTTCCAAAGCCCCCAACTCATCAAAAAAAGGTAATGGTTACGGTATGGTGGGCTTCATTTGGTTTAATACACTACAGCTTCTTAAATCCTGGCGAAACCATCAATGCTGAATCATACTGTAACCAAATTAATACCATGCATCAGAAATTGGCAGTAATGAAGCCCTCTTTGGTCAATCGGAAAGGGCCCATTTTGTTGCATGACAACGCTCGACCACATGTGTCACGTGTAACGTCACAAAAATTATTGGAGCTTGGCTATGAAACTTTGCCTCACCCACCCTATTCTCCGGACCTCTCGCCTACTGACTACCATTTTTTTAGACACCTGGACCACTACTTACAACACATAATATTCAAAAATCAAACGGAACTGGAAAATGCATTTATTGACTTTATCAATTCTAAAAATTCTGAATTCTACTCAGACGGAATTAATAAGTTACCAACACGCTGGGAGAAATGTATTGAGAGTATGGGAAATTATTTTGATTAAAGAACATTGCTTTAAAGTAACTAGTTTCTTTTTTTTTGTTTAATACCAAAATCCTGCATTATTTTCCGGACAACCCAATAGATGGAAAAGTAAATACACTAAATAGAACATAAAAATAAGAGTGAGAGGGGGAAATGCGATATAGTACCCAAAAATCTCCACAAAAGACAATTATCTTTTGTGTATCTAGTTGCGAACCCTAACCAGCCAAACAACCCTTAAAGCATCTGTAATGACCAAAACTGAAAATAAAAATTGGCAATATCTTGGGCCCACCGGAATTCTAGGTAATGAACAAAAAGACAAACTGGCCAGAGGAGGATCTACAAATATCACGTATAACCACAAAACATAACTTAAGATAACTAGATTAAAAATAGAATACTGTCAATGTAAATAATGAATAATGTCACAAAAGATGCCCAACAACCAAAAGGAGAAACGCCAGACACGGTAAGTTCTAGGTTTAAAAAAACCTCACCAAAACTGACGGGAACTGATTATACCACTCAATGGTATCTGAGATTACGTACACCACGTGGGTGTAATTCAACTATAGCCCATTTGTAGGTATGAACCACTGCCTCGCAAAACAATAACCCCCAGTCCTATTCCTGAGCCATCATCTACCTTCACTTAACTTGCTTTATTAAAATTTACAAACACTACAGTGATAGTAATACTAATAATAATGTGATTATTAAAACGTTTAAACTGCCATCTGGATTGTAAAGGATTACATAGTTTCATTTAACCAACTAAACATGGGTTAACGCCTATTGACTCTATAATTACAGCGGTCATGTATATTCAAGAAGAGTTAAACCGCTAGGAGAAAAATGAGAATCAAACGCACAAAAAGTGTATAATAAACAAAACTGTTGTACCTACGTTAGAAACAAGCCAACAAAAAATACAAATAGGCCTATAACTAAGTTAACGGGTCTTAATTTCAGAAGCTAGAGTAACTGGGCGGATCCATGGTTACGGAAAATGAAAAGTGACGTAAAATAGAACTAAACTGTGTTATAATGAATATTTAAAAACGAAATAGTTCAGGTGCCTATTATTTACATCCACTTATATAACGTTAACACCAATACAGACAATTAAGAAAAACTTTCCAATTTAATTTACATATCATATAAGACTTCTTGGAAGGTAAATATTTCAACTTCTGACATACGTTTTTAATTACTATCTATAATTAACCGTAGGTACATAACCACTAAATTGACAAAACAGGAGTCGTTAGTTTTCCTAATCACCCCGTTCCGCCAATTCTTCCTGTTTTATGCAAAATATCTTATTAATCACGATCTTATTAATAAACACTCTAAACGCACTACGAATAAAAGTGTGAAAAAAGATGACGCCCATACTCAACAACACAATACAGGAACGCAGACAAATAAGAATCAAAGGATGAAAATTGTAGGAGAAGGAGAGGGTAACAGGAGCTCAACAAAACGGGAAGAGGGAGAGAGAGAGAGAAAGAGAGTGGTGAGAGCTGGAGAAAGAAAGGAAAAGAGAAAATGAAAAAAGAAAAAAGGAAATATAGGAGAAAGAGTCATAGGGAGAGAAAGAGAAAGAGAAAGAGCGAGAGAGAGGGAATGTGTGTATGATATTCTAATAATTAAATGGATGAAAAAGTAAAGGAAATAGCCTAAGTTTTTCTTTATTATGAGGCTCGTTGGTAGTTCTTAAAGGTATTTACCATTTGGTTAATTATAGAAATATACCTTCCATACTTTAAATAATTTAATTTATTGCAAACATTTTACACCATAAATTTAATATTCCAGCCAATAAATAGATGAACGTTTATGATATATTGGATTTAAAGACGGTCTGGTTTAATTTCGAAATTTAATTGTGGTTGTAGACAATGGGGAACAATGTTTGTCGGGATATGGGCCGGTGTTTTGGTCGGGGGGGGGTAAGGCTCTCGGTATGTTGCGATACACAGCAATAACACTACATCATCCCCAAGGACCTCAGATATTGTTTAATAAAAGGGAGGCCACCCTTGGAACCATCGCCCTCTCCAGGAAATTGCACGGTAAATAACGTCCTCCACTCAGAACGGCGACTTTCAACACGGTTTTTTGACAAGGGGAAGTTCAATATTTAAAAGAAGATTGTTCGGTGAACGCCTTTTAAAGATTCGACTTTATAAAGCCGGTTCGTACGCCGAATCGGCGATAAATTAAAACAAAGGAAATTAAAACCCAAAACAAAACTTTTGTAACTTTCAAACAAATTCTATTTAAACTTCTTCCATTCTAATTGAACCAATGAATCAACAAGTGCAATGCTATTATAAGCGGCTTCTTATTGTGCAAAAATAAAACACTCGCATTTTGATTAACAAATTTATTTCGTAGATATTTATGTTTCGTGAAGTTATACGATCTGAGTAAGATCAGTCTGGAATAAATTCATACTGCTGAAGTGGTCGCAGGTTCGGCTTGGATGAAGTCACACTTTGTCCTTTACATTCATTCGTTAAGCCAATTGTCAAGTTAAATACCTACTATTGTCTTTTTAGAGTACTTCTTTTATAGTTTTCTAAGTTTAAAACCTAACTTCTAACCTAAAACTTCTCAAGTCTATATTAGGACATTTACAATTACATTTCGTGGTTCGTTTAGAACCTATTCACACGCGTATCAAAAATTGAACAGAAAACTATGAATAAGGCATTCAGCTGAGTGATGGAACGTAACTAGATTGTTTTTATTTGGTGAACATGAAATTGTCGATTTGAAGTTTTGCCAAACAAGGAATTACGAAGGTAGAAGTAGTATCTTTTATCTTGTGAGTTTTAATTTTGAGGTTAATGGTTGTTGGTTTAGGCTCTGTTTCGATTACATTAGGATATCGTTAATTGTTTTTATAATTCAGGGCATCAATAGTTATGATTACATCAGGATATCGATAAACTTCCACCTATCTTCCGGATATCGATAGTTTCATTTCGATTTCTGCAATGTAATGATATAACTGTTTTTATTACATCAGGGTATCGGTAGCTCTGTTTCTATTAGGTACTCAGGAAGACATAGTTTCGTTTCTATAAATCAGTGGATCGATAGTTATATTTCAGTTAGTTCTGGGCATTGATAAGTTCTGTTTCTAGAATTTTGTACATCAACAGATTTGTTTCGATTACTTCAACGTACCGATAGTTTATCTATAATTCAGGATATTGAGAGTTTCGTTCGGGGGTGTCGGTGGCGGCAACGGTTTAGGCGTTGACACGGTGCTCATCACTGTAAAGCCGGGTCCAGACGGGTGTAACGTGTAATGCAAGATTACGTGTAATTTAGAGTGAACAGTGTGGACGGCAAACGAACTCAACGCGAATCATGAACGCGAATCTTGAAGAGGGGTCTGTTCCACTCAGTTGCTACGAACATGCCGAATAGGAAGGTCGTGATAGCTGGTGCTGCTTTTATTTGTACGTATTTATTATGCAGTGAAGACCGGAAGAAACGTCGATGGTGGAAAACTAACTTGTATAATAGAAGATCTTCATTACTTGTGGAACTAAAATCTCAGCAAATAAGTGGTCAATATAAAAACTTTACCCGGATGTCGCCTAGTGATTTTGATCAACTGTTAACAATGATCGCATCTAAAATATCAAGACAAGATACTACAATGAGACCTGCAATTTCGCCGCAAGATAGACTGGCTCTAACACTAAGATTTTTGGCAACGGGAGATTCATACACTAGCCTTCAGTACACTTTCAGAGTTTCAAAACAGTCCATCTCCTGCATAGTACCAGAAGTTTGTAAAGCAATTATAGAGGCACTGAAAGAAAACATAAAGGTGAGTTTTACATATTTTTATTTATTAATTGAAATTAGGTAGATAACATTTAAATTATTTACTAAGAAATTATAATTTATTAAACCAGATCATCCACAAAATCTGCATTTTCAATCGAAGTTTGGGACGATTCTGAGGGATGAGGTGAATTATATGGATGAGGAGCGTAACTTGTAGAGATATTTTGACCTGTTGTATACCCTGGAGTATATGATTCCGAGGAAATAGGTGGAGTATATGGTGCGGCATTGCAGTATCTTGACGAAGGAATCGAGCCTGTTGTACACCTGCTGTAATTCAGTTGTGAATTTTGAGGAAAGTTAGCGCATCCTTCGTCGGCTTTGAAAATTACGTCCATTATTGCTCGCTGCACTGCATTCTTGGTACTCCTATTATATTGTTGCATCTTGCTGCATATAAAATTGGAAAAGTAGAAGGTTTCATTATCCCAATTATTTGGGTTATTGTTTTGGGGGTCAGGAGTAGGAGTAGACGCCGCAGTCTTAAGCACGGCAAGAGCTTCGGAAAGCATACCCATTTTTTTATTTTCATCTGATTTATATTTTTTGAGAGTGGTCGGGGATTTAAATTTTGAACTGCAAGCATTTTCTGCACTTGTAGATGCTGTAGGTTCCGGTTCAATCTGTAACAATAAAACAAATTATTTGTTTCAGTTGCCAAAGACCGAGCAAGAATGGATCAAGATCGCAAATAAGTTCGATGAATTGTGGAATTTCCCCCACTGTATTGGAGCTATGGACGGTAAACATGTGATTCTTGAGGCCCCGATACGTAGTGGCACAGAATATCGCAACTACAAATCGAATTTCAGTATAGTGATGTTTGCTTTAGTAGACGCAGAATACAATTATACATTTGTGGATGTCGGATGTCAAGGCAGAATTTCGGATGGTGGAGTTTTTAAGGAAACTGAGTTATTCAAAAAATTGGAAAGGAATTCGCTAAGATTGCCTGCAGGTAATGCACTGCCAGGTAGAAATAACCTAGTACCATATGTTTTTGTAGGAGACTCAGCCTTCCCTTTACAAAACAATATAATGAAACCTTATCCGGGAGATTACCCCAAGGGATCACCGCGAAGAATTTTTAATTACCGGCTAAGCAGAGCTCGCAGGATAGTTGAAAACGTATTTGGGATTTCAGCATCTGTTTTCCGAGTTTTACGAAAACCAATGCTTCTTCAGCCCGAAATCGCAGAGACCGTAGTCATGGCGATTGCACATTTGCATAATTTTCTGAAAAACACAGCTACGTCTAAAAACTTGTATGCACCCCCTGGGTCACTTGACAGCGAACAAAACGGAAGACTCAGTGAAGGCACTTGGCGGAGAGATAGTGAAATGTCATCATTACTTCCATTAAATAATATCCCTAGAAGGGCTGCCTTAACCGCAAAACAAATCAGAATTGAGTTTACTGACTATTTTCTAGAAGAGGGCAAAGTTTCTTGGCAGAGTACGTATTGTTAAGTGGATTTTTTTTCTTTTTTTCATCCAAAAAGACAAGCTGTATGCAGTTACCTCAGTATTAAGACGTTTTCTTGGGTTATTTCTGTCCCCTAAAAATGCGAGCGCCTCGTAAGCAAACCATGTACTTTTGTATGTTTCATCAACACCTGTAAAAAAGGATGAATAATTTGAATAAATAATAAATAAATTTTTTATTTATTATTACATTCGAAACTAAAGAAAACCAGGAAGCAACTAACATCATATGGATACTTCTATGGAGAAATAACCTATACGATAAGTATGTATGAATGTATAGGAATAATAATAAAACAAGTTTACGAAATAATAATAATACAATAAAATAATTATAATAAAACATACCTGTTCCGGTACCTTGACTCTTCTTTACTTTCCCTCTTTCCCTTCGATGTGAAGCCAGCAAACTAATAATTTTGTTCTTGCATTCTTCTACTTCTCTTCCCAATGAAAGGGCAATTTCACTCCATGCATCGTTTTTCAGATTCTTTTTGAAATAATCCGGGTTTTTAGGATTCCAAATTTCTGGTTTTCCTTGGTATAAACCAATAAGTTCAAGCGACTGTTCGTCACTCCACATCATGAACGTCCACACTGCACAACTGTCACGAACGCCGTCCAAACGAGAACTGCGAGCGCCTTTGTGTTCGCACAAAAAACCGACACCCCGATGGATCCGGTCGAACGGTGGGGCGAGCGTTACAGGTAATGCTCGCAGTAGCGTCCACACAAAGAATTCGCCTTGCATTACGCGTTACGTTACGTGTTACATTACACTCGTCTGGACCCGGCTTAAGGTGAAGGTCCCGGGTTCGAATCCAGCGGCCCTGCATTCGAACCCGACATACTTACAAATGGGCTTTTTTTCAATAACACCGGCACCCCGAGGGTTGATATGACCTCTGCTGTTGCAAACTCTCGTAAAAGAAAAAAAATAGTTTTGTTTCGATTACTGCAACGTAACGATACAACTGTTTTTATTACATCAGGGTATCGATAATTACATTTCAGTAGTTCATGATATTGATAGTTCTGTTTCTGGAATTTTATGTATCAACATTTTTTTTCTGTAACTCTATAAATATAATAAGTTACATTGGGTACTTCGGGGAGAAGATAGATTTGTTTTATATTTTTTAGTGTTGACCGATTTGTTTCGATTACTTCAGCTTATCGATAATTATATATCAGTTAGTTCATGATAATGATAGTTCTGTTTCCGAAATTTTATGTATCAACAGATTTGTTTCCTCCATTGCTTCAGCGTATCGATAGTTTTTTCTATAACTCTATAAATATAATAAGTTACATTAGGTACTTCAGGGAGACGATAGATTTGTTTCTAAAATTATTAGTGTTGACAGATCAATTTCGATTACTTCAGATTATCGATAGTTTTTCTAGAATTTAGATAGATAGTACTGTCTCTTAGGTTCTTCCGGGAGTCAATGGTATTGTTTCTATACGTTTGCGTATTGATAGTTTCGTTTCTATACGTTAGGGTATGAACTTTCGTATGATGATTTATTTCAGTGACTTCAGGGCTTCGATGGTATGGTTTCTATCGATAGTTATTAGTATGATTATTAGTATTGGTTAATAATTATGGTAATAATTATTAGTATTGGTTATCGATAGTTTTTTCTATAATTAAGGATATATTTATTTCAATTATTTTATATTATGCATAAATTTCTTTGTATAATTCAGGGCATCGATAGTTTGGTTTTAATATTCCAGGATATCAATAGGTCTGTTTCAATTACTTCAGGATGTCGATAATTGATTCTAGACTTTAGCGTAATTGTGTTTCCGTTACTTAAGAATATACATAAATTTAGTACAATTGCTTCACAGTAAGGAAGGTTCGGTTTCAGTTACTCCCAGGTATACAAATATAATTTTGTTTCTATATTTCAGATTATTAATAAGTGTAATTCAGTTACTTTAGAATATAAATGGAATTGCTTCTATTACTACTTCGATGGTTTTTTCTTTGATCCAGGTATCGATCGTTTTCTCTCTGCATTTGAGGAAAACTTTCCATTTTTAGGTAGAAATATCGACAACATTCTTCTGATACTGTTAATGAATAAGTTATCAATATTTTCTTTTAAATCCTCTTAGCTAGTTGCGAAGCAAGTAATGAATGGTTGTCCTAATTTTGAAGATGTAACAATATACTAGTACAGATAAGTTGGTGATTTTAGCAAAATCGAAACTAAGACATCTTTATTGCTTGTATTTCCCGAAAATACAGTTTTTCTTAATAAAGCTTACGCGTAACGCCTGCGTTTACAACCAAATGAAAGTAGCTATGTACTTCAACTGAATCAAACAATTTGCAAGCAAACGCCATTTCAGTTTTACTTGTGTTAGTAAATTTCCTAATTTGCAATTGCTCCAGCTAACAACGAGTCGGTGTACAGTCGAGGCAATCAGAGGTGCCGAGTTGCATTTAAATTCCGCATTTATTCCCCCTTTAAATGGTCGAAACCATCCCTGTAAAAGCGTTTACATGCAACCCCAGTAAATCGTGCCGGGAGCGGTCATCCCGGAGCGCCACCAGAGTTATGACATACCAAAGTTAATGTTCCTGAGTCTCGACACTCACCATCCCGATCCACGCCCCGGCCGGGATGCTGATTTACCGCCCTACGCATAATGGGGCGGCGGCAATTAAATCCTAGGTATGTACCGTTGGATTGTTTGATTTCGGCCATCTTGGCTACCGACCCCTTTGAAATATGCGACCGGCCCCAAGTTGTCGGCTTTGTACGACATTATGCACGCGGGTCACATCCCGGAGGTCGTAACCGAGATTGCTTGTATCCTACATGCAAACATTTCGCACGAGGCCGAATCATGAATCTCCTTCGTTATTTATTTATGAGACAGTTAACGAAAGGATTACGCTCTTCGAACATGTTCCGGTTATTGTGTCCTTGCGTTTTATATAATAACCGAGATAAGTTCAACATTGATACACCGAAAGTAGCAACAAATGAAAACCAAACAAAACAACAAATCGCCGCGAAAATGTTTAGCCCAGTTCATCTACGGATCGAAAGCAGGTACCTCAACACCTAACTCAATAACTGTTCATATGTATGTAAATTTGGGAAAAGGAAAAAAAAAAGAGAGATGCCCTTGCTCCAATGTCCATTAATAAAGAGCTAAACTGTAAGTAAGTCGGAGAAAAAAAACCCGTAATAATACAGATAAATCAATGTACTGAATTACGGGCAAAAAAAGGTTAAAAAAAAAGATAAATCGAAAGAGTGAGAAAGCGAGATACAGACAGACTGGTCAGATTAGAGTGAGAGAAATAGAAGGGTATAAAGAGTGAGAGTGAGAGTGAGAGTGAGAGAGAGAGAGAGAGAGAGAGAGAGAGAGAGAGAGAGAGAGAGAGAGAGAGAGGGGGGGGGGGGGGGGGGGGGAGGGAGGGAGGGAGGGAGAAGATAAAAATACGGTACGAAAAGAAAAAGACAGTGACAGAGAACAAAGTAATAAATAAAAAAAGCAAAAAAGAGAAAGAGAAAGAGTGAGAGAGAGAGAGAGAGAGAGAGAGAAAGAGAGAGATCAATAGCTGGAGAGAGTGGGAGTAAAAGAAAATACGGTATGAAAAGAAAGAGATGGTGACAGAGTACAAAGTAATAAATAAAAAAGAAAGAAAAGAAAGGGAGAGAGAGAGAATAGAGATAGATAGAAAGAAAGAGGAAGATAGTAGGTAGAGAGAGAGAAAAAGAGAGGGTGAAAGGTAGGGGGAGGGAGGGAGAGGAAGGGAAAGGGAGAGGGAGAGGGAGAGGGAGAGGGAGCGAGAGGGGGAGAGGGAGAGGGGGGGAGAGAGAGAGAGTGAGAGAGAGATACATGAATAAGGACATAGGGGGCGTCGGTGGCCGCAACGGTTTAGGCGTTGACACGGCGCTCATCAGTGTAAAGTAAAGGTCCCGGGTTCGAATCCAGCGGCCCTGCATTCGAACTCGACATACTTACAAATGGGCTTTTTTTCAAAAACACCGGCACCCCGAGGGTTGATATAACCTTTGCTGTTGCAAACTCTCGTAAGAAAAAAAATGAGGAAAAAGATTGATAGATATATAGACAGATAGAGAGTATGAGAGATAGCGATTAGACAGATAGAGAGTATGAGAGATAGCGACAGAAAGAGACAGAGAGAGAGAGAGATAGCGAGAGAAAGAGAGAGAGAGAGCGAGAGCGAGAGAGAGAGAGTGAGAGAGAGACAGAGAGAGACAGACAGACAGACAGAAAGGGAAATATAGACGGGCAACCATACAAAGAGAAGATTATATTTAAAAGAAGACACCTACAAAACGAGAGAAACAAAAAACAAAAATCTTTCATATCGCTTGTTCTTAGGAACTTAAAGTTGTTTCACATACGTTTGTATTATTTATTATAGCTATTGTATAGGTGTAATATGTATTATGACAAAGACCAAATTGACATCTATAATGATAATTTGTCAAAATATTGTTTATATCTGTTATCAGTACCATGTATTATTGATATTTCGTTCTTATTTCTTTAAGAGTAATATTGTATTGGGAAGAATTATTTTTTATGACTGCCTAACCCTTTATTCAGCACTGATTTTCACGCCTTAGAGAAATTTCCAGGTCAGCCTAATGATTAGACCTACGCGCTTATAAATCTACGTGGTTCACAATGACCTAGCCCCTCGCCCATCATATTAAAAATTGATTCCGGTTGGTTGACACATAAAATTACGAGCGACAAGAAAGAAAAACCTAGGGAAGAAGAAATAATTTATTCTGGGACAAAATAGTCCCCTTAGAATAATATAAAGGTTAAAGAAAAATTATTAACATTTTGATTCAAAAATAAACCTTGTCCTGGTGAGCAATGTAATTGCAGAGGACTTATATATAAAAAAAACCAAACAAGTTAGATCTAAAATAAGTTACTTTGAAAATTAACAGAAAAATAATAATTACTGAGTAAACTTATCTGTGGTTAAATCGAATTTTTGGAGGGAGAGACGTCCATGTTACGGGGAGAGAGTTCCAAAATTTTGGAGCTCGGACAAGGAAAGACGTTTAAAGGTGCATGCTTTATGCCGGGGAATGATTAGGTCATAGCGAAATGAGCGATTATTTCAAGGAGTGGAAAGAGGATTTGAATCGGATGGACTAGATAATGTAATGAGGACGATGGGTGTTAATGGCATCATAAAAGAAGGAGCCAGGGAAACATATACTTCGTGAAGAGAAATAGGGCCAGGATAGGACCCGAATACAGCCGTGATACCCTGAATTTCCGGGGGAAACTGTTATGCCGATGATTAATGATTTTTCAGATTAATTAATGAAAATCATGAATTAACCTATCGGAAATCTGCTGTTTATATTTTCTAAGTCTCATTCTATCGAATAATTTATACGGCTTTTAATCATAGTTGAATCAAGAACGTCTAGCCTCTTATGGAAAGTTGCAACGCAAGAAAAACATTTAAAAAATCGACAATAAAGTTTAATTGAGACATTGGTTTAAATTATGATAATTAAAGAATTTGTTTGCATGCAATGCAGAATTAAAATAATTAAACAGGAAAATAAATTAACATGAAATATTTAAAAGTAAATCTAAATTCAAGGTAATGAATAGTATTTTCACTTTCATATTTTTTCATCCTTTTTAGGATCTTTTACAAGTTACTTAGCAAGTTTGGTCCAACGTCATATTTGCATTTAATTATCTTTGTTTTTACAACCGATTTATTATTTCTTCGGCTCTCTACAGACTTTTAAAACAG